TGTTTGGGGTTTGCTGTTGCTTGGGTCCGTGCAAGGGCAGCTCTCCCTCTATGACTGAGGTCTGCACCCATCTGTTCTCCTGTCTGCTCACACTGAGTAAGGATGGAGGAAGCCCCAGGAAAACATAAAATAGAGAAGGGAGCCATCCCCAGCCTAAGTTAGATGAACCCACCTGCTTGTTCATAAAAAACAGAGGAGGAGATGGGCAAAAATAAAGAGGTTTCATCAAGGGACACCCTTCACCCACACTCCCTTGAAGGACGTAGCCCCACCTACACACCACCGAATACTGGACGTTTAAAACAACTGCCATAGCCTGGTTCCTGACCTTCCTGGGTCCCCGGCAGGCCAGCCAGGTAGTCAGGACTGAGGCTTGCTACACAAGGACTTGCTTTGTTCTCTTTCACTTGTTTTTTGCTTCACATTTCGTTCCAAAAAGATTTCAGGCAGCAATAATAGCTTTTCTGGCGGCAGTTTTTAGACTGGTTTTGGGCACTCTGAAGCTGACACGAATCCTTGTAGGGAAAATGTTTCTGCAGTTCCCAGGATGCCCTGGACACACCGCAATTCTGTTGTACCCTGTTCACCACCCTCACCCCCCTCCACCACCTACAACACAGTCCAAGGTGGACCTTCCGGCCCCAAAGACTACAGGAACCAGACAAAACTTAACGCAGATCTGAGGCTCCTTTCATTTTTCTCAAAAGTTTTGGCTCTAGATGGTGAAACATCTGAAATCTAACAGAGGGAAGCATGGGGAAAGATTGGTCCGAGGGTAGCGGGAGTCAGCAAGACAAGGGAAATAAGCTCTGAGGTTCCATTGCACCGTAGGGTGCTTATGTAGACATGACGATATACTGTGTAATCCCCGAAAAAGCTAGGGGAAATTGATTTTAAAAGCTTGTGGAGAAAGACATGACTCCCCTGATCTGAACATTACATAATAAGTACCTATAGTGAAATATCACATGGAACCCATAAATATAAACAGGTTTTATGTTCAATTAAAAAAAAACCTTTTTAAAAAGAAGTCTGCCAGACTGCCCACTTCCCCGACTTTCCCCTAAGAGAGCTCTTGCAGACACAGACATCAAGATCCTAGGGTTGGGGCATTTGTAAACAACTGCTTTTAAACTTTAGGGAGTCTAAAATAGGTCCCCAGCAGCTGGCGCTGGAGATCAGCCTGTGCTTGGGAGAGCTGTGCTCTAAGTCACAGGCTCACATAAGATCCACACGGATGGAGTGGTAACAAAGCTGAACACGACACCGTGGTTCTATGCCAGGCTTTGGCACTTTGTGAGAGCTCAAGGGGAAAAATCACTTCCCAATACTGACAGCCTCAGACCAACTACAGATTTTCAGAAGCCTAGCATGGACAGTGTAAATGGATGTTTCCTATCCCAACCTCCCAATCACAGACCTGACTCAGAGGCTGAATATAATTTATAAATGCTTGGCTGATACCGCAGGCTTGTTACTATTAACCCATTTCTGTTAATCTACGTATTGCACGTGACTTGTGGCTTCGTCTGTCCTCTAGCATGTCTTGCATCCATCCTCCTTCTTCCCATCATTCTCACTTTGGCTTTCCTGCCAAACTTTATCCTGTGCAGCTATTGACCAGTCATCTTGGTTATTAAACCAATCACAGCAACCAATCTTCACAGTGTAGAAAGGATTTCTCACAACAGACCAGGGCTTCAAATCATGGCCTCAATCTACAAAGTAATAGAGACAAACCAAGGCATCGAAAGAACCAAGACTTTCCTAGTGCACCCTAAACACTCACTGGAGTTGTCCAGTGCAGAAACCCAAGGCCTATGACCTCTGGAAATCCAAGGTCAGGGGTTCCCAGAACAGCAGCAGTGACAGCATCTTTCTTTGCTCTCAGCTGCTTCCAAGTAAGAAAAACAGAAAAGAAAGGGGGGACCGGGGAGTCCTAGGTACTGTAAGAAAGCAGGCTGAGCAAGTCAAAGAGAGCAAGCCAGTAAGCAGCTCCCCTCCAGGGCCTCTGATTCAGCTCCTGCCTCCAGGTTCCTGTCCTGACTCCCTTCAGTGATGAACAGTGATGTGGAGGTCTAAGTCAAATAAACCCTCTCCACCCCAAGTTTCTTTGGTCATGGTGTTTCCTCCTAGCAGTGACAACCCTAACTAGGTCAACACCCAAGTCTGCACCACTGTGCTACCACTTCTGGGGCCTTTCCTAGCTCATGGCTGCTCCAGTCACTGACTTCAAGATCAGGGGGCCTTAGAGAACTCAGGATATTCCCAGAAGTTTCTTTAGGTTGAGAGACATTTTTGCTCTTGTTGATTTAAATACACATAGGCAGGTAGAGCTTCAGACACTCTGCTCAGAGTAGACATTCACGGAGCTTGGGTCAACAAGCGCCTTTCTACTAGAAGGGCCCCCCACCCCCAATTCAACTTCCTTATATCAGTGCTTATACTGGGATGCTGAGCACCCCCTAGTGGGAGGAATGAGCATATAAGATAGACCATTTCAATGGTGTTTTCAATAACCTGTCCACCCCCAACTTCCTGCCCCTCAGCTGATTTCCCCTTCCAGCCTCCCTCTGGTTGTTAGAATGATTCATTCTTCCTACGACGATTAGACCTCTTGCCTCCCTGTCTTTTCAGACATAATGAACTAAAATTAAGCAGAAGGCAGCCCAGAGCTGTAAGAAAAACTCCCTATGGCGAGAGCTTGCAAGCCTACCATAGCCTTATAAGGCAAGCTGAGGAAGCCCTGGTGCTCAGGGCAGAACAATAGAGAAAAGTCAGAAAGATAGTTCTGCAAGTGTGGAGGATGAAGAGTGGCCGTTTCCTGGATTGATATTAAATTCCCTGCCATATCTCACCTCTGCTAAGGCCAAAGGAAAGTCCAACGTTTACCCATGTGTCATAAACATGTGGAATCTATCCCAGGGAAAGAGCCACTCATTCACAGGCACCGTGTGCAAAGGTGGGGCATTTTGAACATTTGAATACTTCTCTCCACTTTTCAAAGCCACTACCACAGGCCTCTACAGATGAGCCTAAGTATGTGGCAGTCAATAAAGCATTTAAATCACCTGTAGTACATTAAGCTGCAGGATCTTATGCATATTTAACATATGCGCACGTCTAACTTAGTTCCTTATTCAAACAAAGGTCTTTGTGGAGGAGGGGTCTGGAAGTGTAGCTAAAAAGTACAGCGCTTGCCCAGCACATCCAAGGCCTGTTTTAATCTCATCATCAGAAAGGGGCTTGGGGAAATCAAGGAAAGTTATCGTGTTTGCAATGTGTGCATTAAGAATCCCTTGGTTGGGGGGACTTGGAGATTTAGCTCAGTGATAGAGCACTTGCCTAGCAAGCACAAGGACCTGGGTTTGATCCTCAGCTCTGGAATCCCTTTGGGCATGCACAGACTCCAGTCATTTGTTTTCCTCTGTTAATGTGAGCCATTTTTTATTTTTCCTTCTTTTTTTTTTTTTTTTTGAAGCTCTATAGGATTATATTTTTTTTGGTGGAATTAAATGATAGTCATATTGCACACAAAATTGAAATCGTATAAAAGAGTTCATTATAAAATATTTATCTCCCCCACTCTCCCCGCACTCCTGTCACCCAGTCTCCCTTCCCAGAGACAACAGGTATCGGGTTTAGAGAGTTAATTCTCTAGCTTCTAATTTATAAAATGGTGCGCACAGAATTCCTTGGCCTTTCTCATTCTAGAAAACTGCTCTTTCCTTTGGTTTGTTGATGCTCTGGTATAGACTGCTATGCTTCATGTAACAGGCTTAGACCCCTTCCTCTGAAGTTAACCCACTTAGGGGAGACCCTGTGGCCCTCGAGCTAAATTAACCTGAGTTAATCCATGTAAGTGAACTTCTGTCTTTCCATTTATCCATCAGTCTTTTTTGTTAATTACCTTTTGGGCTATTTTTGCAGCTTTAGAGACTGTTACTTTTAGTTGGGCATGGCGGTGCACATCTTTCATCTCAGAATTCAGGAGTCAGAGGCAGGCGGATCTCTGTAAGTTTGAGGCCAACCTGGTCTACAAAACAAGCTCTAGGACAGCCAGGACTGTTATACAGAGAAACCCTGTTTCGAAAAACAACAACAAAGCAACAAAAAAAATTTTATTTTTCATTGTGTGCATTTATTCATCATGGTACCGTGTTATATAAAGACATTTCAAGCAAGTATACATTTATTTAACAGCATGTTCCCCCTACTGCCCTTTCCCTTCCTTTTAGTTTTACCCTTTTTGCCTAGTCAGTTTTGTTTCACTTCTATATCACAGACACATATGTGATTTTATGTATCTATATAAAATGTAAGACTGACAAATGAGAGAAAATACAGTATCTGTCTTTCTGAGACTGGCTGAATTTGCTTGATATAATTCTCTCCAAATGTATCCATTTCCCTGCAAACAATGTAACTTTGTTCTTCTTTGGAGATGAAATAAGTTTAACTTAGTATATATAGGCATTTTCTTTATCTATTCCTCTGTTGGCTGATGTCTAGGTTAGTTCTGTAAATTAGCTATTGTAAATAGTGCTACATTAACATTGATGTGCAAGTATCTTTCATAGTCCTTCCTTAAATTCTGTTTTGATAACTTGCTCTGAGCAAAACTCAGCCAATCTCATCGCACTGGCCCAGTGCTTGTCCCTTGGGTACATTACAATTACGTAGAACACACCTCCGTGGACGACTTTGGTGGCTGCACTTGCGCTCAGTCCTAAATTTGGGTCATCAGAAGCCATCTGATAAATCCCCTGAAACTTGGCCCACAATGTGGCCAGTCCCAGCCCAGGGCTCTTTCCACAAGAGCTCCCATCCCATCTTTAGCTTAGAGGCTTGGACACTCTAATCCACAAAGGCTTTCAGTGTTGAACCTTTTTGGCTTCTCTTTCAGAACCATTCAATGCTACTCATATTTCTGACAACCAAGAACTTGGGGAGAATGTCTGCCCTCAGGCACTCTCATTTTTTTTTTTTTTTTTGTCCAGATTGGCCTCCTGCCAACCTCACCAGAGACACCAGAGAATGAAGCTGTCTGTGGAAGGCTACTGGACAAACTGGACACAAGCTCACTGGACATCTGGTAGAAAGGTCAAGATGGTCCAAGTTTGGTCAGCCTCTCAAGATTGACAGCAAAAGAAACTGGAATTTCTTCTTGTATACTGTGGCCTGAATTAAAGACATTTTTCAGTCTGCAGGGCCTTTGACCTTTACTCTGAATGGAACAGTCATTCGGCAGGGCCAGGCTCTTGCTTGGTAGGGAGGACACACTGAGTTTGAGGCCTGTTCCCTCTCCCCACATAAGAAGATGCAAAAGCTGTGCTGACTTAGATGAGCCGCTCTGTCTGGGCCTAGGAAGTTCTAGCTAGCATTAACTGGCCCTGCCTCTGTGAGGAGGGGTGGTGATGTAGGGTCATAAGGAGAAATTATATGAGAATCAATGAGAATTGAAAAGAATGAACCTAAATGGTTGCTGCTTTGTGTGTCTGGAAGAGAATAGGTCATCATTCTGACAAGGAACTTTCTTATGTCTTGATTTCAGGAAAATAAAAACCAAATCACAAATCTAAAGATGAGGACGTATTCACCTGGGGAGAGATGGGACTAAATGAGCCGTTCTACTTTAAACAGATCCTGGATCACAAGGAATTATTGCTTATAACTCTGGAAGCATTTGTTTCCTATGCTGTGGATGAGAAGAAATGGTGAGGAGATTACACACACACACACACACACACACACACACACACACAGTGGTTCAAGCTGAGATGTGTTCATCTGGGTTATGTGGAATGCGCTGGATTCTAAGTACTGAAGGCTCTCCAAGAAAAAGTAAAAAGTTAACCACCAGTTATGGGAAATTCAGAGGAGTAACACAGGATTAGTAGGGCCAGTCCTAAGCTAAAGAAAACAGAATCACTGGTATGTAGTATAGGAGACTACTCAAAAAGGATAAATCCCTGAGTCATGCCCTAGAGAACCTCCATGAGTCCCCATAAGCCCCCAAGGCAGGTCTGTGGACAAGAGCACAGGCCAATCCACCTGCTAGTACCTATGACAAGTTAGATACACATTATTTACTAACAGCCCCTAGGGGAATGGAGCTGAGGAAAGAGGTTTGCAGCTCTTGAGTGACAGCCAAACAAACCAAACAAAGCCTTGAACTGGGACCAGAGAAGCAGGGTGTGGATCACCTTGGGAAACTGGGTGGGGAATCATTAGCTTTACACTCAAGCAAGGGACAAAAAGGTGTTGATATATCTATACCAATGGGTGTGAGCATTCCACAGGCTCGATGTTTGTGGGAGACGCTTCAATAAATATGGAATGTCAATCCCTGCCGCTATCCTAAAACCTTTTTGCCAGCTGAGTCTTTGGTTAGTTTAAAGCCACAATATGAAGAAGTTCTCAGTAACATTAAAGATACGAGTGAAGTTGGAAACTGGATGAGATGGCCAAGGTTGCAACACATACTCCAGGAGACAGAGATCATCTGAATGTCACTTCGGGCTTGAAGATGTAGCTATGTCCTTAAAGTCAGCCACCGCTAACATTATCTTGATTTTAAGAAGTCTGTAAGTCACTATGTAGCAGCATCCTCTCTAGTCCTTATTTTCATATGTGCCCCTTTTCCCCACTTATTCCCAGTGGTGTGCTAGAGCCAATTGGTACCAAATTTCAATGCGCAACAATGTACAACAACCTTAGGTTGGGGCCATCAGATGTCTCAGCAGGGAAGGTCACTAGCTTGACAATCCTCTCACACAGTGGGAGGGAAGAACCAATTTCTACAAGATGCACGTGTGTGTGTGTGTGTGTGTGTAATAAAGCAAAAGCCCCTCAGGCTGGCAGCTTCAATCGGGCATGATGGGAGAGCTCACACAAAGGAAATTAACAAACACTGCAGACCAAGGCTTTGTTATCTTTTCTGGAAAGCCTGTTACTAAACATCTGCCAGCACACCACGCCTGAGAGAGTGGTATTGCCTGGCAGAGGGAATGTTGAGCTGAGGAGGAGGATTGGGGAATGGGATGGAGAACCCCAGAGTGAACAGAGAGAAGTGGGTACCGAGATTACCCACTTGCTTCCTTCATATAAGCCTCTCTCCCCAATTCAAGCTTTGGATGTAGGATTTAAAGGTTGTTGCACGTGTTTCTGTGATGTGGAGGTAACGAGCTTTCTGCTGCTTTGTGGGGTTATCTTCCTACCTGATGTGTTTGAGGTTTATGGTAGAGCATCACAGCTCAAATACACCCTTTGTCTACTCTGCATCCCAGACTACCGTACCTATACCCATCGTGTCTCTTACAGATTTGAAGCGGTTTCTCAAGCTCAATTTCAGTTACTTCAGTTTCACCATGCAACAGTGCGTCTCTTTCATCTGAAATGTGTTCCCTGTTGCCCTTTGGGTTTAACAGCTTGACTCTTTTGAAAATGTTCCTGGGGCAGATGTATTATTCCCCCTGGATAAGAGGTGTTTCGCTTCAAGGTTTGTATTCAATTTTGCCCCTCACATCTTTGCTCCATCTCTCTCTTCTACCTTTCAGAATTTGTCCTACCTACATCTCCAAAGGAAGCAGTCTCTTACTGGTGAGTGGGTCACAAGTAGAATCTGAGCCAAGCAACCAACTCTGTATGTCAGGTGGGATTTGATGCTCCTCCAAGAACTGGAAGACAAAGGCTTCATCACCTGAGTCAAAGCCAAGCCGGAGATAGAGGTCTGCAGACAACCCTGCATTTGAAGATCCCAGAGAACAGGAATGTACTATCTGAGTAGAGGAAGAAGGACAAAAGAGAAACTGATGCAGGATATATTAGGAATTGGGCATGGCTCTTTGGCCACCTAGCCTAACTAAATCTCTGAGTTCTGGATCTAATGAGAGATCTTGTATGGTGGAGGGTAAATGAGAAAGACACTGGACATCAATTTCTGGCCTCTGCAGGCAGGCACATGTGCACACATATTCATACAAGTATAATATGCCACACACATACATACTATATATGCAGATGTATACACATATACTTAATGTATTCCAACCCATTTTAGTTGGTATTCTAATTAGTGCTCAAACTATTTGATATTTGGCCAATGAATGATATTTACATTGGTTCCTGAAGGTTTTTGGTGCAACCCCAATAGTTTTTGTGGCATCTTTTCTTTCTGGTATGATAACATATTCTAAAAGTTTCTGGAGGGATGGGAATGTTCCCATCTGTGTCTTCTAACATTGTAACCACCAATCACATGCGACTATTCAGTTCTGGACCTGAGGCTGATGGAGCTGGGTAGCTGAATTTTAGCTGGAATTCAATTTGGATTAATTTTAAGTAGACACTTGTGGCTAGTTGCTATCCGTATAGGAGAATCGAGTTCTTCTTGTATAACCAATGGAAACATTTAGATACCAAATTTGTCTACTGTGGAGTTCAGTCCTTATTAGAGCATTGCAGGGGCTGACCTACTATAACCTCATAGACTCCTATAAGACACTGACCTACTATAACCTCATAGACTCCTGTAAGACACTGACCTACTATAACCTCATAGACTCCTGTAAGACACTGACCTACGAGCCTCGCCCCCACTCGCCTATGCCATGGTGGTCAGAAATCTGCTTTCAAGTTGTTTCAGTGTTGCCGTAGGACTCTGACCAGCAGCTACATTTGGGAAATTCCTGTCTTACACAGATTGCTGGACTGCAAAGGTTGTTTCCAAGCTCCAGTGCACTGAAAAGCACCCCAGTGAACCACGAGTGCATCTTTGGCTCCACATGGCCAGTTTCAGGACTTGGAGGAACAAAACCTCCTGTTGGTTATGTCATCAAAAGTTGCAGGTGCTTGTGAAAACCTTCCTCTATCCAGCTCAGTGGCCTCTGCGTTCTCCTTCATTCGTAGTTAAGAAGAGCCCAAGGGCCCTAGGGAGATGGCTCGGTTGATAAAGTGCTTGCCCCTGGTTGATAAGCGTGAGACCCTGAGTCCACCCTTCAGAACTTGTGTGAAAAGCAGGACATGGTGGCACCTGCTTATGATCCCTGTGGGTGGGCTGGAATAAGGAGGGGGAGGCAGGCAGATTCCTGGGGTTTGCTGGCTAACCAGCCTTGTTGAATCAACAAGCCCAGATCTCTGTAAGAGACCATATTTCAAAAAGCAGACACATACTGACCTGGCAGGGCAGATACCATGACCTGTTGTGGGCTACTTGATCGCACTGTGAAACCTGAGACTGTGAATAAAATCCACCTTGGGGGGGCTGGAGAGATGGCTCAGTGGTTAAGAGCATCGCCTGCTCTTCCAAAGGTCCTGAGTTCAATTCCCAGCAACCACATGGTGGCTCACAACTATCTGTAATGAGGTCTGGTGCCCTCTTCTGGCCTGGAGACATACATGCAAACAGAATATTGTATACATAATAAATAAATAAATATTTTTTTAAAAATCCACCTTGGAACAGGAGGCAGAGCCAGTCACTAGTTGACAGGAATTAGCCATAGCAAGTCAGGCAAAGACAGGAAGACAGAGAAATATACAGGAAGAAGTAGGGCGGGACTTTCGTGGTTTTTTGGTGTGGGACGCCTGGAGAGACTCTCTTGCTGGGTTTCAGGCCCAAATGGAAGGTCAGCTGGTTGCTTCTCAGCTTCTCTGGTCTAGCAGGTTTTCACCCCAACATCTGACTCCTGAGTCTTTTTGGTTAATAGAACCATAGAGACTTGGTTAAAAACTGCATTTGGCAGCTGCAGCTGAGTCGGTGCTGGAGGGTCAGGAATCCTGGCAGGCCATGGTATAAACAGCCATGGGGCCATCGCAGGTAGATAAAATATCATTAGATTAAGGTGCAGCTGCTAAGTTGAGGGCAAAACAACAATTCCCACAAAGGTGGCTTTCCCAGGGTGAGGCTCATCCATGGCACTCCAGGGGTGCTGACTTCTACAGTTTCCCCAAATTCAGGAAACTCAGCCATATAATTGGTAGTGGTGTGTGTGTGTGCATGTCTGTGTGTGTGTGTGTGTGTGTGTGTGTGCGCGCGCGCGCGCACGCGTGTCTGTGTGTGTGTGTGTGTAGGGAAGTGTATTAGGGGAGAGT